TGCAGAGGGTCAGGACAACCATAAGATATGTTTCTTACTCAAAATGCCTTTTAGTTCTGTCTCTCACTGCACACCACTGATATTTTGAAGGTAACATTTCTTGGTGTTAGCACATTAATTAATTCTCCCCTACCCCCATGCAGCTTCTGCACATACGTGACCCGTTATTGACCTCACTATTATTGACCCCAGCTGGTGATGGGCCTGCCAGCACCTGAAGCCCCTCACCAGGTGCAGCAGACAACCACCAGCTTTCTTCTTCAGCCCCGCACAGGATGGATGGAGGCACAACGAGGCTGCTGCAGTAAGCTGGCACTGTATTCAGCCTCCTTTGTCCAGGCACAAGAGCTTGTAAAAACAATACCACCGCAGTTCACAGAAAGGCTTTCCTAGTAGGAGAGGGCACCGCTTGCTTAGCTACCTCAAGCGATCTGTCCAGGTCTGTCTCACTACAAGCACACAAAGCCCTGCAACTCCTCCCTCCCGCACAGAGCACACTCATGCTACACCAAAAGCAGACTGAAACTTTAGTGTTTAAATCATGGACTGAGGTAACACGTGTCCATCTCGCACAACGTTTGTGTCACCCAGGGATCGCACTATCAGCACCCAGCTGGCACACAAAGGCTTAATTACCCGGCCCCTCAGAGGCAGGGGACTCAGCAGCTCCCACACCCCGGGCCACTGCTGGGTGCTGACTGACCCCGAGCCCCTCTCATGACCCCAAGCCCCCCATCTCCCCGGGCCTTGTTCTCCCTCCTCTGACAGGAGCTCCCCCCCCACAGAGCCCTCAGCCCCAGTTCTCCCAGTGCAAAATAAAAGACACAGGAACTATGACATGACTACAAAGCACGTTCACATGTCTCAAGAAGTTGCTTTTGTTCTATAAAGAAGCACTGAAGACACTTAGATTACTACCACAAAGCTGACACAACCTCACCAAGGACAGAGGTCTCCTCTCCCCCCACATGCCATGGATGACACCAGCCCCTACCAGACTCGTGCGCAGCACAGACCTGCAAGGCCTCACGGGGTGGAAACAATGCTGGGGATCCCACAAGCACTCCAGACTAGGATAAGGTAAGTGAATGTGGTGCTAAAACTGCTTCACCAGCCAGGCTCATCCTCTTTAACAATTTAAACACTGCAGATGGCCTGAAAGTATGATCACGAATATCACAGCCTCAGGGAGGCTGAACTTTATCGGTGAAAGCAAATGAGCATATCAGCACAAACCCCAACAGCTGCTATAACATTTCAGACAAGTCTCCTATCTGCGCTTGGAAGGGGAAGAGTCACAAAGCCTAGCAAACTGTGCAAGAAATAGAAGATAAAATGCCAGGGATGAGGCAAGGGGCAAACGCTTCTGACACCAGTTAGAAAGACAGTATCTGTGGTAAAACAGCTTTGTCTTGCAATGACCAGAGACTTCAGTGGGTAACTGGCCCAGAGCAGTTCTGGGTATCACACACCTTCCCCAGAGCTAAATCCACCCAGCTCCAGGCAGGCCCCAGACACCATCACCATCTAGCCACTCGCCCCCTCCAGGCCCCGCACCCCCTACCTCCCCGAGCGGTCACTCACCGAAGTACTCCTTCTTCATGTGCATCTCCAGCTCCTTCTCCAGCTCCAGCGTCAGCGCCTCCAGCCTCCTCTCCGCCTGGCTGGGGCCGCTGTCCCGGCTCGGCGTCACCTGGTAGGGGAGCTTGAACTTGGGGGCCGAGGCCGAGCCTTTGCCGGGGCTGTAGGCGTAGGGGGCCGCGGCGTCGGGGCCGGCCCCGCCGGCCGGGTGCTGCGGGTCGTGGCGCGGCGGGGACTGGGCGTGGATCTTGTGGTAGCCGTCGGGCAGCTCGGGCACCGCGCAGTCCTCCTGCAGGCCGGGCCCCAGCAGCGAGGAGCGGGGCGAGGGCAGCTGCAGCTCGGGGTAGGCGCTCATGGAGCCGCGGGAGCTCCGCGAGCTCTGGCTGGAGATGCTGGAGCGGGGGCTGACCACGGCAGCGCCCTGCACGCCGCGGCCCTCGGGGGGCCCGCAGAGGCTGGAGCGGGGGCTGGCCACGGCCATGCCGGCGGCGGCCGCCCCGTCCAGCTCGGCGCCGCCCGGCGGGCCGTACCTGGAGTCCGAGTAGCTGGAGCGGGGGCTGGTGGGGCACGAGTACTGGCTGGCGGTGCTGGAGCGGGGGCTGGCGTGGCGCTGGTCGTAGCCCATGCTGATGCCGCTGGTGCGGTTGCTGCTGGGCTTGCTGCCGCCGCCGCCGTCGTAGCTGGTGAGGCTGGCGCGGGGGCTGGAGTGCTTGCTGGTGTCGCTGGCCGTGCTGGCGTAGCTGGAGCGGGGGCTGAGCGCCGCGCCGTCGTACTGCACCAGGCTGCCGCGGGGGCTGCCGTACTTGTCCTGCCCGGGCACCACCAGGCTGGAGCGGGGGCTGGAGAACTTCTCGTAGGGCAGCGGGCACCCCGCGCCGCCCAGGCTGGAGCGGGGGCTGGAGAACTTGCCGTGCTCGGCGCCGGGGCCCGGCGAGGCGGCGGCGGGAGCCAGGCTGGCCCGGGGGCTGGCGGCTCCGTACTTGCCGTCGGGGCCCCCGGCCGCCCTCCCGCCGCCCTTGGCCACGTAGCCGCCGTCGTAGGCGCCGGCGGCGACGTAGCGGTAGCCCTCGGCCGAGTAGCGCTTGCCCTTGTCGGGGAAGCCGCTGTAGCAGGGCAGCGCCACCTCGGAGCGGGTGCACAGCCCCTCCTCGCAGCACGGCGGCCCGGCGGCCGGTGGCGGCGGCTCGGCGCGGCCGTTGGCGGCGCGGAGCGGGGCGGCGGGCGGGTAGGCTTTGCCGCAGGGGGCGGCGGGGAAGGGGAAGGCTTCGGCGGGCGGCGGCGGCGCGGCGGTGCCGTTCATCTTGCGGCCCCGCTGCTCCGCCGGCATGTGGGCGGCCAGCACCCGCTTGGTCTCCTCCAGGTCCGGGGGGAGCGGCGGGTCCCGGCGGCCGCCCCGGCCGTACGGTGCCTCCGGGCAGGGCTCGTAGAGGGACAGGTCCTCCAGGAGCTTGGTGGCCTTCAGTGCCATGTCCTCCTCGTACTTCTCCATGCTCGGCCGGAGCCCGGCGAAACTCTCTGCGAAGGCGCAGTCCGGAGCAGAAAAGATTAAAAAATAAATAAAACAGCAAAAAAAAATAAAAATAAAAACCCGCCCCCAAAAGCAAGCTCCTCGGCGGGGCACAGCCGGCGGGACGCGGCTCCTTCCCCGGCGGGCGGCCCGGGCTGCGAGCAGGCTGCGCGGCGATCACCTCAGCGGCATCCCGGCTCCGTGCGGCTCGGTGCGGCCGGGCTGCCCGGCGGCGGGCGGCGAGCGGAGGCGAGGAGCCCCTGTGTCACTTTCCAGCCTTAAATAAGTTGCTGGGTCCAGTCAATGGCGCGCTGCGCGGAGGAATTTGCGCTCGGCGGCTCCCTGCCCCCGCCGCCCCCGGCCGGCCGCCCCGCGGCGGGGCCGCGGCTCCGGCCCGCACCCCCGGGCGGGGGCGAAGGCGGCGGCCGGTCCGTGAGGGGCTTCGCGGGGCGGCCGGCGGGGCGCGGGGCGCGGCGAGGCAGGGACTCCTTTGTGTGGGGCAGGAATGCGAGGAAGGAGACTGGGCGCTGCGTCCCGCTGGAATGTAGTTAATGCCGGAGCCAAACAATGATTTGCACCGAGTCAGGCGGGGAGAGGGCGGCCGCGGCGGCGGGGCCGGCGGCTTCCCCTCAGCGCGGCCCGCTCCCGAGCGCCGCTGCCCGGGGCTGTCACCGCCACCGGGCTCGGCCGGGGGCTGAGGGGAGTCTCCGGCGCTGAGGGGGGGGGTCGCGGTGCCGGGCGGGGGCGGCCGCGGCCCCGTTTCCCGCTCTCGGCCCTGACTGGAACTTTCGGCCGGGGCGCGCCCCCCGCGGGCAGGGGCTGAGGCGCGGCGGCTGCGAGCGGCTCCCACCTGTGCCGCAGCCCCGGCACCTGAGGGCTACTTGCACTCCCTGTGGCTTCGTTTCAAAATAAATAAATAAATAAATAAATAAATAAATAAATAAAAGCAATACCGAGACGCGATGAACGCGCCGTGGCCCAAAGCAATCTGTGAATTGACATGAGCTTGAAAAAAGCGTGCTGCTGTTTGTGCAACTTCGCGAAGGCTTTATCTGTTGATCCTGTAACAAACGCTGCGCTGCTTGGCATTTACGTTTGTATACACACAGCAGCCTGTCAGAAAACACCACCAAACGGGCTGCTGAGCTGAGACCTCCGATGTGAAACGGTAGCCTACAGTTATTTTTTTTATAAGTACAACTCCCTGACAAGCATCAGTGCTGATCTCAGAAACACTGGTGCAGCCCAAGCAATAGGCACCTGAGTGGTGTCGATGCAACGAGAGAAATATGTTGCAAGTTTGTGCTGCAGGTGCTCTGCTCCTGCCAAGAACATTTTATCCTGTTATCATACCTAATTAAACATTAAAAGCAACTGCGTACTCGAAAATGTCCCCAGCTGTGGAGGGCAACTGATTGGCAATCTATTAGTTTGCATGTGCAGGATGGCAGGCAAAAAATAAATAAATAAATAAATAAATAAATAAATAAAAATCTAGCAAACCATCTAAATGTGCAAAACCAGCCCTGAAAAGCAAACCTGCTAGACATGGAAGAGGCTGTTCACTCTTGATGTGAACATATGTGTACAGATGCAACCCATCTTGGGAGTCAACAACTTTTCTGCTACGTTTTCCCATCTCCAGCAGTCTCATTACGCTTTCTGCTGGTGTCACCACGTGCTTCCAGAGGTTACTTCCCAGAAGGTACGTCTTACCTCTGTTTTGCAGGTGCGTGACAGCTGAAAGCACCTCTCGCTGTAGCACATCCCGGCATGTACTGCTGCAGTTCCAAACAACACAGCATGGGCCCTGGGCAATGGCAACAGAAGCCTCCTGGTGAAGGTGCCATGGCGCTGACCTGGATCACAGCAGCATTTCATTTTCCTGCCCCGTTCAAGCCTCGTGCTTTCTGGTGAAGCTGTTGACAAAGACACTGATCACAGAATCACAGAATCACAGAATTGTCTAGGTTGGAAGAGACCTCAAGATCATCGAGTCCAACCTCTGACCTAACACTAATAAGTCCTCCACTAAATGATGCTGTGTCCTCCACTGATAATGCTGTGAGCTGTGCGGTGTGGGCACGTACCCACCAAGAACAAACAGAGGTTCCTTCTGCAGCATGTGCAGAAATCCCAGTTAACTTGGGTGCTGAGCCAGGGACTCCTGAACCAAGTTCACCAAGGGCAGTGGGCATCTCACAGGCTGCCTTCAAGCACGTGGGTGCTGAGCTCTTCCATTTCTGGTTCCTGGGGCCTTTGCTAGGATGATCCATCCTCTGACTAGCTCTGGGTTACTCACAGACAGTTTTTATTAGGTTGTCTTCTTGTGAATCTAGGGAAGGCTCATGGACAATCTGGGAACTTAGGCCATCAGAGCACCTATACAGAAAAGCTAATTTATTGTATCTCTTTTTTTTTTTTTTAATTTTGTTTCTCAACAGTAGGTAACTCTATTATTAATCAAACAGGGTGTGTCGAGCATATCCTGAGGGTCTCTGCCTGTGTGCTCACACAAGGAAAGATTTTGAGCATCTGTTTTTAGGAGCCAAACAGTGGGAACTGCAGAGCTGATGGTGTGTGAAGTCAGAAGCATAAGCTCAAGTGGAGGAGCTTGTTGTCCTCCCATAGCTCTGTCTTCTAAGCCACAAATCAGCCCTTGTTCTGCCTCCAGCACAGTCTGATGCTGCTGCTGCAGCAGGTTGCAAGTTCCTACAGTAAGCCTCTTGGTATGTAAGTAGTTAAAGCACGTGCTTTCTTTAGTATGAACTCATGGGAAAAACATACTGGGGACTGAGAGAGTCTGGGGAATCTACGGAAATAGCCCCTTTTAGTAAGCAATTTGGATCAAACAATAAAAATCACTTATGTTTACTGTTGAAAGCTTATGTTCAATAAGTAAATCCTCAAAGCAAGGCCCAGTCAAGTCTGTTGCAGCCCTGGGCCAGAGTATTCCTGCACAGTGTTCCTGTCTCAGCCCTACAGCAGGGGCAATACTGCAGACCCGCTCTTCTCCAGTAAATTGTACTCCTGTCATACACATAATGAACATAACATTTATCCACACTATAGCCACAGATGTAGCCCACATGGGTGAAATAAATATGTTTGCAGTGGTACATAACACACTCGAGCACTGCTGCATTTCTCATAGAGGACCATATGTGCCGAGCTGTGCAAACAAGAAGTGTAGAGTTTAAACTGCTGTCGCTATAATAAGTACCCCCATCATTCTCCTTACTATTATATAAAAGAAAAACCAAAGTACAAGGCAATTACAGCTTGACAGTCCTGACATGTTTTTCTCCCCAATTTGTTTAAATAAATTTGCTTACTATTAACAACCAGATGGAAATGTATATATTGCAAAAAGATTCGTGCAACTAACAACATGAGCTATCACAGAGTATTATAAAAGATGAACTCCATTTCTTAATTTGTTGTGGTAATCCTTGTGTCTGATTTTGAGTTATATCAGTAAAACAGATATTAAGGAAAGCCAGCTGCTTCTGTTAAATAAACTCCTTTGTTTAAGACTTAAAGGGAGCAAAAAAGCCAGGTGGAGTTATTGATCTGTGAATATCATCCGGCTGGGCCTCACAGGCAGTACACTTCTGTTTCTTCTAATTGCCAGTGCCTTCAAGAAATGCTGGCCAAACCAACAGGCAGGGAAAATTAATGGTCTGCTGGGGACTTTGTCTCCCTGAGTTGCATACAGCTTATTACCAACAAAACAGAGAATCTGTAGATATAAGAATTTAGTGGTAAAACCTTGGGCCTATTGAAGACAATGGAAAAAATCCCACTGTTGCAGCCTATCTTATGTCTTTACTGTGACAACGTAGGAAGGAGTTTGTTGTCTGACTCATCAATTTAACAATTTAACATGCAGATTTGCATGTTGATTTGGGTGCTACCTTTTGCAAATTCCCTCCTTCTCTCCCATAGTGAGAAAACAATGAAATCATACTCTGAAATCCCCAAGGTAAGAAAGACTTACAATTACGCAGGTTCCTGTTCTCTCCCAAGTTTTGAAATTGATTGGTTTCCTGGTGAAGCACATAATGAAAATTCTTCTCCTTTTTTCTATTCTGAGCCTGATTAAAAAGAAATAATTGTGAAGCTCATACAAAAATTACATTGAGTAATGTATTTATTTTGAGAGAAGGGACTGAAGATTTTGTTTTCTTTGAAGTTGTAGTTGTATTGTGTTTTACAGTGCTTTGTTTTTCTGGGGTCATATATTAATTTGTATTGTGATAACTTTAAGTATAAGCAAGCTTGTTAGAATATGAAGTTTGGATGTTGATATACATTAATATTTGGGTGAATTGATTGCAAACAACGTTAATTAAGGTTATTCTGGCTCTCCAAAATAATTTAAAGCTAGACTAGCCACTTGACTGGAAGCAGTAGCCTGGGCAACTATTTTTACACTATGTCAGGATATGAATGAAAACATTAAGAATACATCATTGTTTTATTTTTAGGACTGTCACTGTACCTTAACTTTTTTCTTTTTTTTTTTAAATACTCATTCGCAGATCACAGTTTTTGAAAATTGGAATTACTGAATGTGTTTTAGGGCACCATCTTCTGGTAGACAGAATGCAGTGTATTTGAATGGCTACCTTTGACTGCTAGACACAACTATTTAAAATATTTTTCACTAACACTACTCTGCAGGCTTACAGGTCACTTCTCATTCTAAATCTGCAATAAAAAACTATTTAACATTTTTTACATTCTTTGTATTCATTGCAAATGCAGCTATTCACCATGCTGCACAAATATGACTTGGGACAGACCCTGTAAAATTCCAGTCACAACAGCCACTTTGTGAACGTGCTATATTAGACAGACAACATATGTCTAAGCACTTAAGATTAATACACCATTTATGTATCTTATTTCTTTTATAGCTTCATCTTCCACTTCTCTTACTTATTTCTGCTTTTGGCATTCCTGGCCACAGTAGCTTATTTGCTCATAGCTGAGAGACTGCACACAGCTTTACTCATACTTCCTTTGCAATCAGAAGACATAATCATTGTATATTCAAACACAATCTATTAGCTTAATAGCAGCTATTACATATGCATAAATACATTATTTATTTGGCCAGTACAGTTAACAGTGCACCCACTTAATATGTTTAAGTAGTTCTTAATTATGTAGATTCTTATTTCAGACTTGAAAATATAAAAAACAGAGACTTCACAGACCTAAAATTTATCTTGTACTAAAAACTAAGTCCTGACAACAATATTGCAAACCATGATCCAGGGGAAAAAACAAACAAACAAAAAAACAGACTGCATTAACACATTTAATAAATAAACAGAAACACTGTGTAAGGGGCAGACTGCTATACATGTCCCTCTGTTCTGTGCTGGTGAAAAATACCAGACTAACTGTATGTGCCTTTTTATACCACGCCAAGAAATATAGAAGGCTATGAGCACTGACCTCACAATACAAGGCTCTCCAGCTATGGTGAGAAGAAAGGGGACATATGTTTCTTGAGAATACCAATTACATTTACCTTGCATGATATTTTCTGTATGAGACAGTACAGAATGATAGCTGCAACACTTCTTAACTGAAAATAATAAACATATTTGCAAGAAGTAAGGAGCTGTTCCATAACCAATGGAACTAACAAAGGCTGGTCTCATACAGGACTGTATTCTGCATTCTTTGCGTTCTCCAGCTTGTAACCTTTTCTCCAAATCCCCAATAACAATGCAGTACTATCACCCCCCTTTGGCCTGTAGAGCTCAACCACTGCGACAGTCTCCAGAATTTACCTGAGCCCTAAGCCATTACATGCAATACCTTCAGGTTCCTCCTATTATTTGCCTACATTCCTCAACAGACTTGTCAGTGTTCTTCTATCTCTAGCACTCCTCTACAACACCTTTAATTTTCTTCCAGGTCCACCTACATACAGCTTTCTCCGTGTCCCCTTGATAATATCCATAGCTCCTGGCAGCTTACCAGGCTTCTAGTTAGGTATCTCAGCTGTCCTTTCTTCCCAGCACACTCCTGCTCACTCCAATCACTACTTAGATGGACAAAATGCAGCAGGTGTGAGTGCTGCACCTATAGGCTAAGTGTTACCACAGAAGGACTTTTGTGGGTCTCTACGTCTAGAGCCACTTACTTGTAGAGTTGCAGTATCTTTGAGATTGCTGATGTAGTTGCTTACTGTTTGTAAATAGCTTCATATTTTGTTGGAGGGGACTGGTTGGGGAATTCCTTAAGTTTCTTTTCTTTAGGAAATCATACTGAAAATTTCTAATTTTTCTCATGTGAATGAAGCTGCATGCTGATGAGAGAGATAATGACAGGTATCTAAACCAGTAATTTCCTACTGTTAATATAAACAGTTATCACACTATATCTAGAAGTACATTTATGTACTTGATCCCATATCTCCTTTATAGAAGAATCAAGGCCTCCAGATTACAGCATTAAGTTGCCTCCTCCCAATCCCTTTACCTGCAGGTATATACTCTTTGTAATCTTTTTGTTTAAGGTGCTAACTCAGAAATAATATCAGGCAAGCAGCAAATAGATGACTGACTTGTGTAAGATGTGTTTATTACTTTCATCCTAGTTTCTGCTTTCTTCTAAGTCCAGTATTTTAGATGCACACAACTGAAGATTTGTCCTTACAGCTGCAAAGAGAATAAATAAAATGTCTCTATTTAAAGGGAAAGAAACAGAACAGGGTGGGGGATTTATTTTCCTTAATTCAGTGTGTTCAGTTTTCTAATCCAAATTTAGAGCTTTGGGACAGTGGAGAAAAAGCTTGAAGCATTCAATATTAGTGGTATATTCTAACTCGATGCAGGCCTATTTTATCTTCTGGGATCTAATAAATGGCTAGCAAGAGGTCTTTGTTGTAAAGGTCACAACCTGAAATGGCACATCAATCTGCCTGCCAGCTGCCAGAGCCTATAGGTCAGGAAAGCATGAACATCTCTATTTTTTTTTCCAATGTAACTGCTTACTACCCAGACAAAAGCAGTACAGTCACACATCTTAAACATCAACATGCAATTGCTTATATAGCTAAATTCTATACTACCTTTCATGCTGCAAGCCAAATGATGATGCCTATTTTAAAATTCTCTGTGGTTCTCTAAAACTTAACCTAATCATTGTCCTGCAATGGTACCCCCCATCCAATAATACAAGCATCCCAAATACTTTAATTATCTGAATATTGTTGAATTATGCTGTAACACTAGTAACTTAAGGAATACAAGCCAGCGAGACTGAATAAAACCCCTCACGCCTTTCTCTTTTTCACCCCCACATCTGTTGGTCTCATATATTATTGTAGAAATCTGCTTAATTTCAGATCATTAAACGCTCAACTTGTAAGTCATATTCACACTCAAGTCAAACTAATGTGATAGTTACCAGTATTACAGCTTTTGCTGTTAAATTAATCAAAGAGATTTTGAAAGCTAAACTACTGTATACAGATCTGTGCAAGCAAGGAAATTTCTTGGGTAGTGGGATAAGATCACATTCTTAGACATATTATATGTGCCAATAGCTTAGACAGACCTTTGCCGTGTCATAACAAGAATCTCATCCTATTACACACATAACAAGTCATCTGACAACTTATTTAATAAACCATTTTTTTATTTTTAGTAGAGCTTAAAATGAAAATGTCAGCCTTAATTATTGTAAAATGTCATCAGACATTAAATTCTAATGCTTTGTTTACAGTGAGAACTATAAAATCTTCCCATTACAATGTTTAAAATTGTTTCTCTAACTCCTCTTATTTACATCTTTACCTCTCAGTCTTCACTGATGCTGGCCAAGAAGCAACTAACTCAAAAAGATTTAGTTTCATGGTAGAGTATTATGTCTCCAAACAAGTTTGAGAAATAGTCATTGCATATGACTATTACTACCTAAAAAAAGAGATAAAACATTAATTGCATTATAGAATCATAGTTTTGTCTCATTGACAATCTAACACTAATGAAAACCTGGCCTTTTACTAGATGGAATCAGATGCAGGAACTCAAACTTACAAAAGGTGCTGGTTTTGTTTTTTACAGTCTCTTTCTATACAGTTAATGTTGTTTAAAATTTGGCCAGTTTGCAAACTGCAACAGAATAAATCTTGTCTGCTCAATTTCTCCACTCTGTCAGGCTATCACTGACTACTTAGTTATAAATAGAAACGGTTCTGATTCATTAACATAAAGTTTAAACGTAATTTCAGTGCAGTGACAGAAATGACAGATTAATGCATTCTAAGAATCAACACTGATAGTATTGAGAGCTACCAAAGTAATTAAACAAATGCAGTAGGCTTGGAGATACTTCTCCTAAACATTGCACTTTCGCTCTAGGCACAAAGTGTAACATACAACAGACCAGTGCTTTTCTCTTTCTGAAGGCATGAGGTGCTGAAAGCATGTGTGTGGTGGTGCAAATGTTCCAACTGAAGAGGCCAATAATTGATTGTCCAAGAAAAAAAACATTCACAAAAGTTTTATTAAAAAAATTCCCCTTTCACCTCAAACAAGTGAAGCTTAAGTTCTGTACTACTAGGTTATGTTTAGAAAAATGAAAATAGTACAGTAATTTTGAAGGCTATACATTGTAAAATCCCATAAATCAGCATAAACTCGGACTGTGCAAGCAAATATAGCAAGTATTTCAGATGTCATTTATTTGGTCCATCAGATGTACAGTATAGTAGTAGTATCTGAGTTTACAAAACATCAAATATAAATAACCTGAAACTGTAACAATACACAAAAAATTTGCTTCTTACATTGACATACCAGGCAGTACGAGCTGAAAAATTGGAGTAAATTAACAGTTTTACAGTAATGTACATAGTGCCAGTTGAAGTTTAAGAACACTGATAAAACATGGCACTAATTTGCTTTAGTGAATTTTCTCCTTGTTCAGGATGTGAAAGATGTTTAGGACTGGACTAAAAATACCTTTCTTCAAGCAAAAAATAAAAATTTATTTACTTAAATCTGGGCATCAGATGATGACCCTCTACTAAAACGGAGTACGATTTTTGTCCTATTGAATTATACCTAAAAGGTATTTACACAAAAATAACATGCTTTTTTCATGATGGTTTAAGCAAATACTTATCTGCAAGTATTTATAAACTATGTCTCTACTACATTTATTATATGGAATTCAATACAGAAAAACTTCTAAAAGAGTCTATAGAGATGACAGCTTTATCATCAAGAGAAACAGACAACAAATTATTCAAGCCAATGGTTTAATATTCCTTTGGAACGAAAGCCTTAGAATTAGTCTAGTTCTGGACATTTTTCACATCCCAAAATAATATGCTGTTACTGCATTACATTATCTTAATCATTTTGTCAAGGGGCATTTGCATGTTCAGTCTAACGCTATAATTTCATCTTGCTCCTCTGTCTGCTCTATACGCACTCTCTTTGTGCTGATGCACTCTTTGTCTTCTAGTTTTCTCTTGCGGCTTTTATCCTCCATATCATCAACATTGCTTGAATGGCCTTCATCTTCAGAATCGATAATCAACAGATCATCTTGATCTGGAGCTGCAAAATACATGTTTTTAATTCCAATGGGTACTGTTAGGTTTATCAACCCTCAAACCGAACTGCATACAAGATACCTCCAAGACAACAAATAACATCTTGAAGCATTCTTTATCCATACTTTCTCATTTAATTACAAGAATATTTTCAGTTTCTCTGAAAACAGTCTAAAACAGGCTTTTCATGTGGTCATTCCCTCTTCATTAGAGGTATGGAAAATATTGCAGTAACTCAAAAGTATTCCCATGTTTTTGGGGAATTCTTACATTAGCTAACGCTAGCAAATGAACATCATCCAAAAGCTTAAGACAGAATTACAGATATTTAACTTTATCTGTCACAACAGTAAAACAGTAACATGTTTCCAGTAAATCATCTTTCACTGCTTAAACATCCTGTATTTGAGTTAAGCTATTTGGGGTATATTCAAAAGAACAGCCTATATTAAGAAAATGATGATACTTCCTCCTGGGTAGCACATAGCTACTTCATTCATCTTTTTTCCATCTCTTGCTCAAAAGGCAAAAAATAATTATTTTGTAAGCAGATTAATAAAGGTGTCTTCTTAAAATAACAAAATAAAATATGATCAAAGATATCCATAAAGTAACTTTTAATCTGTAGGGAGAAAGCAACCAATCTGGTTGATTCTTTTCTGTCAACCAATAGGGTGACTATCAGCTAGAATGGGTCTAACTTTTTAAAGTGACTATTTAAATCACTATGCAAATGGTGTATTTAAGCTGACCACCCTCCAGGAACCTGCAAGTTACATAATATAATATCAAGGTGTATGTACCAAAAGTTTTTGTAACAATCTTTGAATTTTTTTTTTTTTTTTACCATTTACTATTATACCTATACACAGAAGCAACTTCTTTCTTTCTTTTCATGTTAGTCATAGAAGTGAAGTATTTCAATCAGACCACCCTACTGAAATATTATTTTACTTTATTTAAGATTGCTTATTGTGACTTACCTGTTGATGTTGAGGGTTGCGCTCCATCATCGCTACCATTGGTAATGTTCTTAGATGTTGGTTCTGATGGTTTAGGGCCAACATTTTCAGGGGTGTCACCAACAACTTCAAATTCTACGTCTTTTTCTAGGTCTTCACTGCAGAAAAATCCATATGCTTTATAAACAACCAGGTGAAAATAAAAACATGTATTTTTCACAAACAAAATATGTCATTCAAATTACTAAAGCACCCTGCAATTAGGAAAAAGTAAAAAAAAAAAATAAAAATGCATTTTTTAAAAAAGGAAAAGGTGTTCAGCCCTCTATAATTTGTGCTTTGTCTATTCACAAACACTGTTCCACCCAGTGTCATGCCTTAAAATGCTTAGGAAAAAAAAAATATTACCTAAGCTTACTTTTCTTCCCCAATTTCACATTTCTATTCTCACTGTAATTGCAAGGTATTAATTTCCTGTATATAACATTGATATTACTTATCCAAAGTTAAATGCAAACACCAATTATTGACTTCTCTTTGCATTGCCATACTTGAACACAGGTAGTCCGGCAGATGATCTACTACTCCAGCAGGTTGTTTGTTTGTTTTTCAACAGCAGTTTCTCACTTGTTAGCTGCCCCACAAGTAAATCTAGCTTTGCACTGTACTTTGATGTTGCCTAATGACCAAATTATTCAGATGAACTCTTAGCAATTACTATTGTAATAAAATAACTATATCGATTCATTAAAAAAATTCCTCTTTAACCACTATATTTTAGCAACCTGATCTTTTAACTGTATTTGCTAATTTAAAATTCTTAATTGGAAATTCCCTATGGGACCTTGCTACATATATACACAAAAAATATTTTTTTTCAGAATCCTTACCTATGAAGCACATTGATTAACAGTGTATAATCCTGGAGGAAATCATCTGCTTGTAGTCGAGTGCCATTTCGAATTCCGAAGTCTGATAATTTCCTGTGGTTATTTGCTAGAAAAAACAGTGAAATACTGCGGTGAATAGAGATATTTATATAAAGATTTTCTTTCATGTTAAGAAATGAGTACTACTATCTAAAAAGCATTAATGCGCCACATACCTTCTGTTTCTCCTTCTTCCGAAGAGATAAGGATAGTTCCTTTTCCATCATCTATTTGTACATCTGGTGCTACCATAGCAAATTTTTCTTTCACTATCTGAAAGGACGAATACGATTACTTAATCCATGTCTGACTTTATAATATTTATAAATAACCTTGAATTATGCTGATTTTCCTATCCTGGCCCATGTTCAGGCATCTGCTAAAGCCGATACTTTATTTTTTCATTCCCATTTAAAAAAAAAAATCATCTTTTTGCTGTCTGAAATCTTAAGATTTAGTCACAAAAAGAATATCTATGACACCTTTGCAGATTCAGATGATAGGCTGAAACTTTTTTTTAAATACTTATCTCATAAAATGACAGAATTACAAATCAGTTGTTACTGTACCATAGCAACTGAACTATTCGCCTCAAATACATTTTTTCCCTGTTAGTTAGGAATAGGCTTTAAAAAGACCAAAAAAATACAAAATACAAACATTCTTTCATATATATGAACACACATAAACAAGACGCATACTGGCTAATCCAGCTTTTCTTGTAGCTGAGAGAAATGCAAAGAGTAGAGCAAGTATTAACAACTAACATTCAGTCAACATATATGGAACAAAAACCTAACTTCAATACTGTACAACATAAGTGCCGAAACAAAAGCTGTAGCTAAGATTTAAAGTTTTACCTTGTCCTGGAGTGTTAGCACAGTAACTTTGTGTACATTAAGTTTCACAGTCACTTCTGGCTTACTTGCGCATACATAACAGTTAGGATTTGGTGGATCCAAAGCACAAGGAACCAATAGCTTCTTTTTGGGATTTGGCTGCTTGTTCAGGAAAATCTTGAAGACAGACAAGAATGAAACAAGTTATTCTGTAAGTAACAGCACTCATAAAACCTGTTTTCTTACGGATTTGTTCTCTTAGTCTCATAGGTTGTCCTGTTCTCTAATCCTCTTTGACATGCCTGGTGAACAGGAGAAAGTGAGTATTACAGCTAGTCCACAATGACACCTGTGCTGACTGACAACCTACTGCCAAACAGAAAAACAGACATGTTTCAAGTGATGTCAGTCTGGTTCTTTCTCTCACCAAGCAGCCAATTTTCATGAAATCAGAAGGAACTTAATGATCCTTGAGACTTCTACTTTTCTTTCTATCGCAGCTGAAGGTTCCTAGCACATTCAGAATGTACTGAAGTAGCAACGAGTGATAGTCAAACTACACACTAGTAAAAGCAGGTAAAATATAACTTGAATAAATAATGAATAATAAGAAAGTAAAAGTATCATATTCCTACTTACCGTTCTACACTGATCTATTTTTCCTGATAAAATCTTCAGACCCTCCAGCACTATCAGACCAGCTATTACTGCATTAGTAGTAGCTATAGCTGGGATAATATTTCCTGCCATTGCTGCAAAATAAGCAAGAGTATGCAGATTTTTAACAGCAAATGAAAACTAGAAATTGAGATTATTATTTTAAGAAAAACAATGTTATATTTTATTCTTACACTTAATATCAAATCTGCTCTTCATATTCATACTGAAAACATGCATCCTGAGGTTGGCAGCAGAAGTGACAAAATCCATTGCAGAAGGGTCATCCTGACAAGAATTTAACATAAAAAGTATTTAAAAATCAAATTACACATTGGGAAAAGTTAGAAATACACGGTACCAAAAATTACTACCTTAAAAACAGATATTTTTTAAAAGGTCCATACAATATTCCATTTCAAAGTTTATGTACTTCCTCTTTCAAAGAGCATGTTTAGACAGAGCAGTAATACTTGAAACGTGGATTTTAAAATTTTATTTAGTATTTTAATTTAGTATATTACTATTAATATTTTGAACATACAAGGCATTTTAATGTCTAATTACAAAACCTTACAAGGCTTTATGCTTAGTTTCAAAAACTGTTTTAAGAAACAGTGTTTTTTGTTTGTTTGTTTTTAGTAACTGTTGTAATATCATTTTACTATTTTGTCAACACCCTATATTTACGCACTGCTTTTTCTTTATGCCAGGTGACAGGCTACAGAAAGATCACGGTCTCTGGTACTAAGGGAGACTTGATTTGCTTCGTTTTTCCCCAGCAAAACTTGTAATACACTGCACACTTACTCAAAGCTAGTAACTTCCAACTCAGCAGAACTCTAGCAACAAACAACTGTGTAAAAGCAAGTTTTAGAGGTAGCTAGAGCAAAGGAAAAAAGAACTGGCATTCTTAAAATATTTTCGAAACGAAAGTATTGCAACTACTTCTGAATTTGTGTGCTTTTTAAAGTTGGTGAATTGTTATTTTACATCACAATACTTAATCCTGACACTCAATGGAATACGAAGCATGTAAAGTATGTATATGCTTACATATGGAGTTTACTTATGGAAAGTACTTTCAGAGATGTGTCAGCCATTTTTCTTCTAGTAGTACTATTCTGGAATTAAAGAGTCCAACATTCATTGTATGTATGTAGAATATAACTGTTTCCTTTGGTAATTTGGTAAACCAACCTTATCCCATATAAGCTCTGCTCCATCGCCTTTCTCAGCCAGGTGAAGTCTAAGGGTTTCGACGCTCTTTGAAAATAAGTGTGCATAGCTCTTTACATCGAGAACCTGCTGATCTTTCAAAACCGAGGAGGATTCATTTTGTTGGTCAGATACGTTTTTCTCTTCAAGAAAAGGAAAAAAAAATAGTAAGATAAGGAATATTTAGAAATTCCACTAAAGTTCTCCTAAAGAGCTAATTATTTGCTAATTCAGAAAAAATATTTATTTTCTAAATGAAGAACAGTGTTCTTAAACTACAGTTGCACCAAGATTAAAAAAAATAAAAAAATCCACATTTTCTACTGTAACTAATAGCTATACTGTGCCATATCAATAGATGTGCACAATTTATAGCAAATGTAAATTTTCACCAGAAGTCAACTTTTAGAGATAAATTCATCAGTGCATGAGAGATAAGGTCTTTGGTATTTAATCCTGTGAAATGCAAATTTTCTATGACTGATACCAAGTATCTGAAATAATTCCAAAACAGTTTTTAGAAAAAAATATTTTCTGTATTTTGAAAAACTACAAATCTCCAGGAGTCATAAAGAAGTAATATGTTAAGTATCAGTAATCAACTGTGACAGGAAGAAACTGTATGTCACTGTGATGCCTTAAGAAACAGGAGGTGTGACTTACAAATAGACACCATGAGGAGGAACAATTACCTTGATTTTGTACTTCAGCCCAGTCCAGAGGCACTGGAGGCTTTCTTTTCCTCCACAGCTTATCCATGGTCAACAAATATCTAATGTCATCTTTGAAAAGCTAAAAAACATTACAAAAAAAATAAAATGTAAGAGGGAAAAAAAAAGTATTTTATTTTTACACCTCCTTTGACACTGAAAAATCAGCATTAGATTTCAGTTTTTGCTTTTCTCCTTGATAATATTTTCAGCTGAATATATAAAATTATGTATTTCGTATTTTCAACTCCACACGAAAAAAAAAAACAAACAACAGATTTGAAAAACTTATTATTCCCTGTTTTCTAACATTTACTGCAGAAATCAGACAGTTCTCATTAATTCAGGGATGGGGGGAGTAAAATTAAGAAACAGCAGTCCAAACAGTGGCTCCATGTGCCTACTAAAGCCATCTCTACAGCAATTCGTATATTCTCCCCAAGATACTTTTACCTACATGCCAACTTATTTTCCAAGGAAAATTATTACTACCTATAAACATGACATTTTATACTAGTTTCCTCTAATTATCACTTTTAGCAACTATTGTTATTTAGCAACATTTTAGAAGGAAAACTCCTAAAACAGTTCGTATTCTGTTTTACCAGTGTCTGATTACATACACAGCATGAATGATCGCTTTCTGGTCCTCAAACTGGTTCTGATTATGCTTACAAAAACTCCTACAGAATTCAACAGTTTACCTTCTCACATTAGAAGTGATTTGAATTATTTTTTTCCTCACATAACATGGACAAACTGCTGAAGTTGTCCATCCAGGCACAGATGGAATGCCATAAAACAACAAGACCAACACAACAGCAAAATTGGTGGAAGTCATAACATAGTTGCATGACTGATGGCTAGTATTAAGTGTTCAAACATGGGTTTTGACTTGACTTTAAAGCACCTCATACACTTCAAATAAAGACATTTATTGGGGGTAGAAAAGATACCTTAGTAAAAAGCTTAACTGGATCGTATCCAGTTGATTTAGCCCACTCCTTAGTTGAAACACGTTTAATCTCACCATCTTCATTGGATGCTCGTGCTCTGGCTTCTGCTTCTGCTGGCTCCCCTATTAATTAAGTATTAACAAAATAAATTATTTCAAAAAAGAAAAGAAAATCACATCCAAACATTACCCTTAGTCAATAACCAAAATTATTCAGGGTCTATAAAATGGCTTTACTGTTCCCACTAAGAGTTAGATTAGACATAGTGCAACTGCTCCTGTTTGTTTCTACAACTACATTCCACAAGCCTAACTTATTGCCACAAAATTCCTTCACTGACAGAAAAAATGAACAATTGTTTCCTCTTAATTTTCTCCACATTATTTTGTGATTTCATAAATCTCTAACCATCCTCTTTTAGCAGCCTCTGTTACTGGCTGAAGAGTGTTAATCTGGTTAGAGGTTCAAAACAGAATCAGCTTCCTACCTCTGGCCACCCCTATCCAGGAAAATTCCATCCATGCAGATACTATTCATTCTGTTTCTTTCCCAGTCACATCCAGCAATTGCTATTTTTATTACTAGTAAGTAGCAGTCTGATGTTTTCATACAACTATTAAAATCTTGACTGAATGAGAAAATCAACTCAGAGACCATAATTTTATATGTAAATTTGTGAATGTTTCCCCCTTTGCCAGTACAACATTTTATATTAATCTGCACCAAAAAGTACTTAGTATTTCATTGCCTAGTCGCTCTGTATTGTGAAGCATTCTGCTACTTTCAATGTTTAGCCATCATCTTTATTATTCTGAGTGAGTTTGCTTAATCATGTAGGCTGAACAGTACTGGTTCTATCCCCAGTCTGAGAAACTCTTCTAATCAAGACTTATCTCTATCATTTACGTAGTTTATCTGCTTCAGGATCTCATCCTTTTTTGCCCATGACATCTTAGCTCCTTTAGGTTCCTCATAAAAGAGTTCTTCCTGCAGATTCAAAATAGAGTAAACCAGATACACTTGTCCACAGGTTTGCCAATGCCTCCCAAGTTTTGCCAGTTTGACCAGGGAGCGACGGTATCCTCCTGGCAGAAGGCCACAGCTTCTCTCAGCTTTGTACCCACCACAACTGATGCAGCTTCCCAGGCTAGGTTAACGGTTGGACTTGATGATCTTAAAGGTCTCTTCCAACCTAAATGATTCCATGCTTGTAATCAGCATTATAGCAACTGACAATTTGCTCACTACAGATATGAGGCCTCTCGCTAATACGCTCACAGCAGCTCAACCCTTCCTCTGATTGCCCTAATATCCTTCTTCAAGCAAGCAGCATTACGTCTGCTACCTTCAAGTACTCCAGCAGTTGTTGATTAAAGTGAGTTTATATTCCACTATCTTAAGAGTTAGCTATTCATTCAGGACTTGTGTAGGAACAACCTGTTAGGTAAATGCTATCTGATAAACAGAAAATCTGAAGTATCCGAGGCAGATCTGAGCTCCCTCTCCCAAGTTCACCACTCAAAAGGATCCAAAAGGAGAAGCTACAAAGATGTTTATTCACCTTTACAGTAACTACAGTTACTGTCCATACAAAAAATAAAGAAGAGCTACAAAAACATCACTCACAATGGGCATAATTGCTATGTGGATAAATGTGGAAGTGTTTCAAGCTAGAAGAGTTCAAATATGATCCCTCTGTTTTCAATTTGGCAATCCCTCAGCTAGCAGTGGAAAGTGCAGAGAAACTACAAATATCACTCAGTTTTCAGTCCTTGGTTCAGAAGGCAAGCCTCCCAGCTGCAGGGAAGGAATTACTCCATCAAATCCAAATATACTGAAAAAAAAATGCTACACTGTGAAGATCAATAATACTTAATTTTCACATCAGATTCACTTTTCACTTCTTTGTGCACATGGAGGAGACAGCTTGCTCCAGAGGGAACAGGAATCTCTGAATATATATAAACGTATTCATCTAAATCATTTATCACACACCTGGATGTATTAGCTGTTCCTCACAGCTGCTCTACCCACACTCTCTGAAGAGAGCTAGTACATGACAGTGACCTATCTTAGATTGTATTAAAAGGTTTTGACAACAGCTGAAGTGATCACTTCATTAAAGTTTTAGGCTGCCCACAAGGGCTACAGTTCTGACTGCTGAAAATTACTGACACATCAGCATTCTGAGAGGCATTTTTTTGCACACTGGCCACACAAAGACCTCTGGTATACACAGTGCATTGAGTTAACTAAAAAAAAAACAGCTTGAGCCTGCGTCAAACTTTTAATAAATGGTAGTATGAGGGAACTAAAGTATGCATGGTGTACACAAATATCTGTGCTGCAAACACAACCTAAATTCATGTTCTCCATGGGCACTGTAAGTGGAATCCTCCTAGAAGAAAGTGGGGTTGCAATGTAACTTTACAAAATGGACAGAAGCAAGTCAATTTGTGACATAAAACATTTTAGTAACAGGCTAAGTTACCAGTTTATATCACACTTACAGGCAGCTTCAGGATCAGCTCTATCAGGAGAGACTTCTTGATCAGCATCCTCTTCTCCAAACAATTGGCTATATTATAATTAAGAACAACAATAAGACACTAGATTTTCATCATGTCTATTTAAAGACTCAGATATTTGCTATCTGACATATACCCACTTTAAAATTCTTGCTATCAGAATGCCACTTCATACATTGCTTTTTCAATTGTTGAAATTCGTCACATGCAGACTTACCACTGACAATGCAAAAAGTCCAATATAAAAATTAATACAGTAAAACAGATCTATTTGACTCATTCAACAGTTCATCTATTTCCACGATCCCTGCAACCTTTATCTCTGTTAATACAATTGTTACACTGAAAAATGTAACTTCCATACAAAAGCAAAGGATAAAGCATCCTCAGGCTACACCTCTTTGACAAACTTTTCTGCCAAATTTTAAGTGAGATCAGAAAAACAGCTAAGTACTAACTGACATGGTATCTTTATATATATATAAAAAAAAAAAAGCCAAAGAACTGGAGGTTTTTGCTGTAATCCATGTTAATTTTCAAATGAAGTGTCTTTTTTATTTCTCAATCTGTAGGTTTAGAAACCTACAGAAAGAGAGCGAGTCACAGTAGCTATTAAAAAATAATAAAAAAGACAACTTACTTAAACAAATACTTGGCCCACACAATGCAATGGATAGGTTCCGATGGCGTATTTCGGATTGTGCAGCCTGGAAAAGTCTTCTGAGTTGGTTTAGGATGACAT